CGATCTTCAAATACATTGACAAGGCATTAATTTATGATTACGTTAATAACACCATGATTAACGTTATAAAACTATTTCGTAATTAGTCAGCTACAAGTAGTTATCAAGTTTCACGGAGACGTCATGCGCACTTGGATTGAATAAAAGTCCAGCATCATCCATCACAAAATATTTTTTAAAGTCTCGACGCAAAATCAATATTGATGACTTTCTCTCAACTATTTCGCATAACTTGAATTCAAGGTTATTAATGGTGATGGAGGCATTTCGGATCAATCACGTGCACCCCAAAGCATATGTGCAGAAAACAACAGATTTCAAACTTTGTTATCTTATCGAAATAAGATTAGTTATTAATATTCACCTCTATTTCATGTAACTGACTGTTAAATAGCTTATTATTTTAAGCCATTCTGGTTGTACCATGACTGGAAGAAACCACAAAATGATGTAATCTGCCAAAATTTGTCATTTGAATGCTTCATTTCAATTTTTAAAAAACAGCATCTATCTCGATGTCTTTATTTACCTATTCTCAGTATTCCTCTGAAAAAAGTAATATAAGCAGGTGGTTGTACAGCTCCAGCTTCATCTTTATCAAGAGGCCTGATTACCCGCATCCACCTTGTTCGCCATGTTTTACATAACGAATGAAACTGATCCGTCAAAAACGATACAGAGGAGCAAACACCCTGTTAGGTCTTGTTGCATCGTATAGGATGTTTATGTTATCATTTGACACCTGCTTTGCTTTTCGATCGCCAGAAATATTTAGTAATTATTCGCGACACATAGCTACTATTTATTCACGTTTAAATATAGGCCATTTTGCAAGTTTTATCCTTTGACAACAGTAATTCTGGCAATTCTTGAGTACCATAATTAACTAATATTTGGCTTGTATAGAATCACATCTACACAGTTCACTGTGTTCATCAGAAGTAATTCTATTAGGAATAATTCGTTTCCCAAAGTCCCGTAGGACTATTTCAAACCTAATCATCGTTGTGAGACATCATCATATTTGCAATAAAATATACGAAGTTCGGAATTTCTGTTATGTATATTCAGTAACGCTCTAGAATACCAGTAGAAAATAATTGAACAGATAAAGATTACGGGATTACCTGGTAGGTAGATTTTGAAATGCAACAGACAACAAGGGGAAAGAATTTCTAGATCTCCTCCAAGTAGCTGAACATTGGTGTCATCAACCTTTTACCAAGAAATTGTAGCACGATCTAAGACATCTCAGATTATCCTGTCTGCTTTCACTTCGAAGTAACATCGTAAAAAATCAAAAGGGAGAAAATGGATATCAGATTTCCAAACTCAGTGATGAATTCGCTTAAGAACTTAGAGCCTTGACCTAAATGTGTCAGTGAACATCGGTTTCGGTGCGAAGCAATAAACTACGAATGAATTCTCTTCAGTTAAAGTAAACAGATTTTAATTGCATTACAAAAAGAATCAAAAGACACACTTCACAACCAACTCACTATGTTAGTTTAAAAAAGTTACATAGCGTTCGTCAATGAGGGCTCCAAAAATCTCACTCAAAGGCCTTGCAATCGACCCGGTTTATAAATCACTGCCAACCAATCATCTATCTGTTTATTTCTTTGTTCACTATAGAGTTTACTCACCTTTCTCATGCATACGAGCCTCCTTCTACTATGACTAGACGTAACTGCATGAAGTCGCTCCTGGATACGAAAATATTTAAAAACTGTTCTTCTTATCTAAGCCTGCTGCCAACGATGGTGAATATTGAGTGGACATTCAATGAACTTGTTTATTCGAACCAGTTCCCTGTTCATTGGAGGCAACAATCACTGTTGCCGCTTAGATGTTTGCTCGTTGACCCAAGACCAGGACAATACGATCAGGAGCATCAATGCATATTAAACTGACGTTATTTGTAGACGTTTTCAGTGTATTGATAGTAACCGACTGTGAATCACATGGTCAAGCTGCTGTGCAACTAACTTGCTATATTGGCTTATACTTGGTTGATTAACAAATCCTCGACATACAGTCCGTCTTTTAATACCACCTGTGTTAAAATCGAAGTGGTTATTATTTGCGTAAAATAGTAATCTGAGTCCTGGAGAGTTGTCTTCCGGTTACAGCGAATATTCTTCATGGCGTTATTCACATATAAGATTTCAGTTTGTCATATGATGCAGATCAAATAACTTTCGTGTTTTATCTTAATATCAGTGAACCTTGATTTTCGGAAACCATCTGGGAAATGCTAGGGAAATACACTAAATAAGCCTTTAGCTCACCAACTCAGAATGCATGCCCTTATTTGAAAACTGTGGGACATAAACATCCGGGTTTGGCGGTATCAGCATGACATTGAGACACCAAGTAATGCCACATTCATAGCCACAAATATGCCCAGATCTGGTTGAGAAATTTGTTACTTCAATCCGGTGAGTGATCTATACAATAGTATCCACAAGTAACTTAAACTAAACATAGCAGTATTCACAATTTGCAAAAGTGATTAAACAAGCAGATGCTTTCAGAAACAGTCAAAAGATGCTTGGGGCGATCCTAGTATTAACAGCGAGTAAAGTATAAAAAAGACGGAGCTTATGGTAGACAGTATGTCAGTCAATAGCTCTCAGGATTACATGAAACAATAAACGGAGAAGTTGTCGAAGCCATTGAGCCTACTTACTCCTCCAACGGCACGAGTCCTATGGCCATTTTACGTTTCTTAGCAAACTGATCAATCGGATGAAGAGAATGACTGGAAATGTACGAAACAGGGAAAAATATCGCATATTCGTTCGGAAGACGATTTCGCATTGTTAAGAGAATACACTGGTGTTTTAAATATGTGGGCCAAAATTTCAATAATTTCGAACTAAATTCACTCCGTTACTCATTAGAAAACTACACAGTGGACACCGTCAGAGTGTTATCTGATTGCACCGAGGACACTGGATGCCTTCTTACTATGTAGACTATATGTACGCCTAAACGAACTGAACCCTAGAGAGCAAGCCAGGTCTTCTTGAGGGCGTCGATGGATTGACTGCATCCCCACAACTCATCAGACACCTAGAACCTGTTACACGCGCAATTAATCACAAATCGTTTCACATTTATGTGACCTACGGCGTTTTAGGCGGGACTGTATTGATAAGTTTATGCTTCAGCAGTGATAACATTACAGATTCAAAAGGCATATATCTAACTGAAAACGTACCCCATAGTACTCGGCAGCCAGTGTCCGCACATCTGCTCTCCAAAATTGTAATGTAAATCACTTTTACAAATTGGGACCCCCGACAGCTTTTGAAAACACCCTGTATATTTTTAGTTTCTAAAACGCTGATGCTGAATAGTGGAGTCCATCTAGTTGGAATTTTTATCCAATAAAATCCCGGCCAGATTTTGAATGATTAGTACATGACGGCTTGATATGAACACTGTTGCTTATGCCTAACGTACTTCTCGTGACGATAATCAATAAACTGGTTCACTCGACTGTCCTTCCTTAACACTGCCAAACCAATCACTGCCCAGTGGTATCGATACGGTTTAGAAAGGAGTTATCGTCACTTTGTGAATAAGTGATATAAAACAAAGGTTATTGTATCAGGTCAGATTTGGTGCTGGATTGAGATGTGTAAAAGCGCCTCACTAATCACACGACTAAACGGCTTGAAATTTTAATAGAGATTGTTTTGAACCAGCTAAGTGGAAGCAGGACCCTGAGTCTATTTGTCTTAAATTTCGTGAAAGGTAGTACAAATTTATTTCCATCTTCTTTCCCATTTTCAATTTATTATTTGTCCTTTTTCAGTTCTGTATATTTCCACGTCCATAACAATGTAATATTTACATGTTGGATGATATGATGCAAACACTCTATCTCAATTGTTAGAGCAAAATGTGACTCTCAAGATAGAAATTTGTTTTGCACTACTCAGCTTAATGGACTAATTCCCAGAGAAGCAATACCATGCAACAAGTATTCTAGATGAAGACATAAACATTTAATTTGACAGTCCTCAAGAAAGTTGATAACTGAATGTGTTTTTTAAAGTAGCATTTACTTACTCTAACGTGTCGTTGAAATATGTGTATCGCCTTCTTATGTAGTACTGCACTTAGTGTGACCATCATATAAGGTCGTTTCAAATCCAGACCAACGCACTCCTTAACCTCACCTAGCTGGTAGTAAGTCTGATAAAGAGAGAAGGAAGGGCGTAGGGCTAGCGACTCCAATCTGTAAAAAATAATAGCACCACTGCTACTGAAACTTCAAAGCTCTAAGCCTGAAGCCTCACGTTCCACTCGGAACGCAGAGGAATCAAGTTAAAAATCATGTGGTATAATTAGTGATTCTCCGGATTGTGAGTACTCTAGGAAATATTCAATGGACAACTTAGATGTGAAGTGCGTGACTTTATAAGGTAAACTTATCAACAATGGATAATTGATATCTTCATGGTCGCTAATTAACAGGATGCTCATTTACACCGCTAGATATGACAACTTATAAAATAGTGATATTACTTCTGTGATGTTTTGCTAGTTTAATCTTGTTATTCATAAAAAATGTACAGAAAAGTCGAATAGATCACATATGTTACAGTTTAAAACTGTAAACGTAAAGATGACATGAGTGAAGTTAGCATTCACTGTCATATCAGCGCTTTCAACAAATTAGATCTCCAGTACCCGAAAATAGTCCCTTGCAAAATAGCGCTGCTACGGGATATTCGATCTATGTGTTGAATAGAAGTGGCAGTGATGATATATTCCACATGTCAATGAGATCAACCCAAATATCAAACAAACACACGGATTAAGAATCTATTACCAATGAAACCTTGGCAATTTTGCAGCATACGTGACAGACGGATCATGATTGTTATTTTGAAATCTTGCGAAATCTTATGGTTTTTGCACGAGACAAATTTTGGAAAAAGGTTGGACTGTGTGGCACATAGATAAAGCGCAAAACTGAAAGATTTAGAGATGAGAACAGATTTGTATTTAAAATGTTAACAGACGCAGAACAAAAGTCAGTAAGGTAGAATATGGCAATAGCTATGATTAATGAAGTAAAACTAGTTTCTTTTGGTACTCTAGCTTCAAAATGTTGGTGTGTTCCGTCCATCTAGTAACCGTAGATAGAAATTAAGACGGTGTTACGAAGAAAACACTAGCACTGAAAGCCACTCTGGGAGTCCGGATTGTTTTCTTCCAACTTTTGAGTTTCATTTTCCGTGGCTTTTGACCTTTATAATAAGAAAATAACAATGCCAACATACTTTTTCAAGGAAGAGAATGGGTTGTGAAATCCAGGCCTTGAACGGATAGAGTTCCCAGAAAACAAGCTATCAGTATTGTTATGTGGGTATCCTGCGCGTATTAGCATGTGTTGCAAAATTATCTAAAAAAGTAAACTAAAAATGGTTGTCTAACCTGTGTTTCTGAGCTGACTTCACCAGCATTTGGAGTATGAGACTCAGAACATGCTCGACGTCTTCCACACTCTGAATTATCTGTGTGTTCATGTGTAGCATGCACTGTAGCTTCTGGTGCAGCATGTGGTGTAAATGCCGAAAACGTGTGGCCCTTTGTGTCAATGTACAACTTTCGTTCTGCAAGATACCTTAGATGATTCCTGTCTGATTCCGATATGGGCTTTAAATCTTCCTACATTTCTCCATAGAAAACGGTGAAAATAATTACCTCAGGTGTAATATTTTTCAGAGTTTTGATACCAGGATCATCAATAATATATGTAATTACAACAGAAGCTATGAAGAAGCAAACTGAAACAATTGGAATGATAATATTCAACAAGTCAGTTGTTTCTTGGACTACCACGTTAGTTATCGTAGTGTTTGGTGTTGTAAAATCCCCATAGCCTTCGGTTGTCATATTATTATGAACAATTCTCGCAAAACAAAACAACGCCTTTAAAGCGTGAAAGTTACTAGCGTAGTATAACAAATCCAGATTTCAGATTTTAGGTTTACTGATTGGGATAGTAGGTTTGGAGTCTATGCTTATCCTTTTCTAGCAAATTTCTGTGGTTGTCTGAACCCTAGTTGAATTAATCAGTCTAAGCAGCAGACACCACTTCTTCTGGCTATCGGTTTCAAGAGTTTCTGACTCGGTGTGAGAACCAGTACTCTACGAAAATATGATTTATTCTTTCCTTTTTGAACTCTCCGGCTCTCTCCTCTAGAGTGTTGAGACCTGGTGGGAAGAAAATGAGAGAATAGTTCAGGTCCGTAGTCATTATTTAAAATTTTAAACATTGTGATTAAATCTCCCCTCTGTCTACGGTATGATAGGGAGAAGAGATTTAAACTGCCTAGTCTTTCCTCGTATGATAAATTTGCCATGCCGAGAATCGTACGTGTCGTCTTCCTTTGAACCCTTTCTAGAATATGTGGGTCTCCCTTAAGACAAGGACTGGCTACCTGGATAGAGATTTTCCAGTTGTAGCCTCGCCAGAGATGCACATAAGGAGGTGAACATATCTTTGGTGATTCTAGTAAAGACTCTGCAAATTTCCCGTAAGGATCTGAAACTAGGTGCAGTCACCGTGCGACAGTGTGCTGTAGTTTCTAAAACGTGGTTTACTATGTCACCTAAATCCAAATGAGGCTGAACTGATGGGAGTGTTATTCCCTGTGGTTCGTAGGAGCTGATGCCTGCGTGTCTGACGTGCATGGTTGCATATTGATCGGATACACCCATTCTCTGTACCACTCTGACAATTTGTTGAGATGTTCTTGCAACGTGAGTGATCACTGTCCTCCTTTCTCTCTCCAGATTCTCAAGTTATCTGCATACAGGACTATAGGGGAATTGGTGAGCAGAAATAACTGATTGATATGCAAAATAAATAAGAGGGGCCTGAGTACTGTGCCTTGTGGCACTCCGCTATGCACTGCTGTCCGGGGGGAGAGTTTCGAGTTGACCTTAACCCTCTGCCTTCCATCCATGAAGAATCCAATTTAATAAGCTGCCTTTGATACCAAGACTTTCCAACTTTTGTGAGGAACTTTATCGAAGGCTTTGCTGAAGTCAATGAAGACGACATCAACGGTCTTCTGTTGTCCCTTGGTTTGACTCGGCTTTCTCTTGCAGTGTGGGGATTTGACAAGTACGAGATGGCTTTTCGAGAAACATTCTGTGTCTACAAGCTGGCTCCTTTAGAAGCCTTGGATAAAGATCACCAGGAACCATTGATTTCACTACATCTAGTTTCATCAGGGAGTTAAGCCAGATGCCTTGGTCTATGACATAGTAAATCATGGCATATCTGGAAAGCTATAATTTGTTATCCAGAACACAGCATGTCTTTCGAGAAGACCTCTCATACCTGTCAAATCCCCACACTGCAAGAGAAAGCCGAGTCAAACCAAGGGACAACAGAAGACCGTTGATGTCGTCTTCATTGACTTCAGCAAAGCCTTCGATAAAGTTCCTCACAAAAGTTGGAAAGTCTTGGTATCAAAGGCAGCTTATTAAATTGGATTCTTCATGGATGGAAGGCAGAGGGTTAAGGTCAACTCGAAACTCTCCCCCCGGACAGCAGTGCATAGCGGAGTGCCACAAGGCACAGTACTCAGGCCCCTCTTATTTATTTTGCATATCAATCAGTTATTTCTGCTCACCAATTCCCCTATAGTCCTGTATGCAGATAACTTGAGAATCTGGAGAGAGAAAGGAGGACAGTGATCACTCACGTTGCAAGAACATCTCAACAAATTGTCAGAGTGGTACAGAGAATGGGTGTATCCGATCAATATGCAACCATGCACGTCAGACACGCAGGCATCAGCTCCTACGAACCACAGGGAATAACACTCCCATCAGTTCAGCCTCATTTGGATTTAGGTGACATAGTAAACCACGTTTTAGAAACTACAGCACACTGTCGCACGGTGACTGCACCTAGTTTCAGATCCTTACGGGAAATTTGCAGAGTCTTTACTAGAATCACCAAAGATATGTTCACCTCCTTATGTGCATCTCTGGCGAGGCTACAACTGGAAAATCTCTATCCAGGTAGCCAGTCCTTGTCTTAAGGGAGACCCACATATTCTAGAAAGGGTTCAAAGGAAGACGACACGTACGATTCTCGGCATGGCAAATTTATCATACGAGGAAAGACTAGGCAGTTTAAATCTCTTCTCCCTATCATACCGTAGACAGAGGGGAGATTTAATCACAATGTTTAAAATTTTAAATAATGACTACGGACCTGAACTATTCTCTCATTTTCTTCCCACCAGGTCTCAACACTCTAGAGGAGAGAGCCGGAGAGTTCAAAAAGGAAAGAATAAATCATATTTTCGTAGAGTACTGGTTCTCACACCGAGTCAGAAACTCTTGAAACCGATAGCCAGAAGAAGTGGTGTCTGCTGCTTAGACTGATTAATTCAACTAGGGTTCAGACAACCACAGAAATTTGCTAGAAAAGGATAAGCATAGACTCCAAACCTACTATCCCAATCAGTAAACCTAAAATCTGAAATCTGGATTTGTTATACTACGCTAGTAACTTTCACGCTTTAAAGGCGTTGTTTTGTTTTGCGAGAATTGTTCATAATAATATGACAACCGAAGGCTATGGGGATTTTACAACACCAAACACTACGATAACTAACGTGGTAGTCCAAGAAACAACTGACTTGTTGAATATTATCATTCCAATTGTTTCAGTTTGCTTCTTCATAGCTTCTGTTGTAATTACATATATTATTGATGATCCTGGTATCAAAACTCTGAAAAATATTACACCTGAGGTAATTATTTTCACCGTTTTCTATGGAGAAATGTAGGAAGATTTAAAGCCCATATCGGAATCAGACAGGAATCATCTAAGGTATCTTGCAGAACGAAAGTTGTACATTGACACAAAGGGCCACACGTTTTCGGCATTTACACCACATGCTGCACCAGAAGCTACAGTGCATGCTACACATGAACACACAGATAATTCAGAGTGTGGAAGACGTCGAGCATGTTCTGAGTCTCATACTCCAAATGCTGGTGAAGTCAGCTCAGAAACACAGGTTAGACAACCATTTTTAGTTTACTTTTTTAGATAATTTTGCAACACATGCTAATACGCGCAGGATACCCACATAACAATACTGATAGCTTGTTTTCTGGGAACTCTATCCGTTCAAGGCCTGGATTTCACAACCCATTCTCTTCCTTGAAAAAGTATGTTGGCATTGTTATTTTCTTATTATAAAGGTCAAAAGCCACGGAAAATGAAACTCAAAAGTTGGAAGAAAACAATCCGGACTCCCAGAGTGGCTTTCAGTGCTAGTGTTTTCTTCGTAACACCGTCTTAATTTCTATCTACGGTTACTAGATGGACGGAACACACCAACATTTTGAAGCTAGAGTACCAAAAGAAACTAGTTTTACTTCATTAATCATAGCTATTGCCATATTCTACCTTACTGACTTTTGTTCTGCGTCTGTTAACATTTTAAATACAAATCTGTTCTCATCTCTAAATCTTTCAGTTTTGCGCTTTATCTATGTGCCACACAGTCCAACCTTTTTCCAAAATTTGTCTCGTGCAAAAACCATAAGATTTCGCAAGATTTCAAAATAACAATCATGATCCGTCTGTCACGTATGCTGCAAAATTGCCAAGGTTTCATTGGTAATAGATTCTTAATCCGTGTGTTTGTTTGATATTTGGGTTGATCTCATTGACATGTGGAATATATCATCACTGCCACTTCTATTCAACACATAGATCGAATATCCCGTAGCAGCGCTATTTTGCAAGGGACTATTTTCGGGTACTGGAGATCTAATTTGTTGAAAGCGCTGATATGACAGTGAATGCTAACTTCACTCATGTCATCTTTACGTTTACAGTTTTAAACTGTAACATATGTGATCTATTCGACTTTTCTGTACATTTTTTATGAATAACAAGATTAAACTAGCAAAACATCACAGAAGTAATATCACTATTTTATAAGTTGTCATATCTAGCGGTGTAAATGAGCATCCTGTTAATTAGCGACCATGAAGATATCAATTATCCATTGTTGATAAGTTTACCTTATAAAGTCACGCACTTCACATCTAAGTTGTCCATTGAATATTTCCTAGAGTACTCACAATCCGGAGAATCACTAATTATACCACATGATTTTTAACTTGATTCCTCTGCGTTCCGAGTGGAACGTGAGGCTTCAGGCTTAGAGCTTTGAAGTTTCAGTAGCAGTGGTGCTATTATTTTTTACAGATTGGAGTCGCTAGCCCTACGCCCTTCCTTCTCTCTTTATCAGACTTACTACCAGCTAGGTGAGGTTAAGGAGTGCGTTGGTCTGGGTTTGAAACGACCTTATATGATGGTCACACTAAGTGCAGTACTACATAAGAAGGCGATACACATATTTCAACAACACGTTAGAGTAAGTAAATGCTACTTTAAAAAACACATTCAGTTATCAACTTTCTTGAGGACTGTCAAATTAAATGTTTATGTCTTCATCTAGAATACTTGTTGCATGGCATTGCTTCTCTGGGAATTAGTCCATTAAGCTGAGTAGTGCAAAACAAATTTCTATCTTGAGAGTCACATTTTGCTCTAACAATTGAGATAGAGTGTTTGCATCATATCATCCAACATGTAAATATTACATTGTTATGGACGTGGAAATATACAGAACTGAAAAAGGACAAATAATAAATTGAAAATGGGAAAGAAGATGGAAATAAATTTGTACTACCTTTCACGAAATTTAAGACAAATAGACTCAGGGTCCTGCTTCCACTTAGCTGGTTCAAAACAATCTCTATTAAAATTTCAAGCCGTTTAGTCGTGTGATTAGTGAGGCGCTTTTACACATCTCAATCCAGCACCAAATCTGACCTGATACAATAACCTTTGTTTTATATCACTTATTCACAAAGTGACGATAACTCCTTTCTAAACCGTATCGATACCACTGGGCAGTGATTGGTTTGGCAGTGTTAAGGAAGGACAGTCGAGTGAACCAGTTTATTGATTATCGTCACGAGAAGTACGTTAGGCATAAGCAACAGTGTTCATATCAAGCCATCATGTACTA